CAACGCGGACTCCGCGACCACACGGGGTGAGCGCGATCAAATTCGTGTCGAATAGATGCGCCCTAATACCTCGATATGCATATTTATTTATTTATTTCCATGAGGAATTTTATTTGAAGTAGACATTAAACGAATGTGCAACTTTAAAAAGACAACTGTCAAGTACAGCCCGTTTATTGTTAACCGATTTCAAAAACTGGAGGAGATTCGATTGGTTTGGAATGTATTGTTTGTGTGTATGTTTCTTTTATGCCTGGTGGTAAGCGACATGCTTATCCATAACGCCTATTGTTAAACTGACTTCGGTGATTCTTTTTTGTTGGAACGTCAAAAGTTTTGTAAAAAGTCATGGAACAAAGGTTTATGGCGTTAGTAATATGGTTCTGCGAGGCTATTAGTATTTTACAAGTAAGCCTGTATAAAAATGTGTTCTTTAAGTTACTTGAATACAGCTCTGTGTCTAGCTAAAACAAAATTAATCCTACGTGTGCGTGCGAGACCCGGCTGAACGACGCATTTTTCAGGCTTACTTATTGGGGCTCGACACTCCATTAAAATTACACCTAACTTTTATACGTGCGTGGTGTTAGCGTAAAAGGCGCTTTTACGACGTCTTATAGTAAAAACCTCGCATTTACCGGACTACATTTGCTCCGCAGCGTCGTAACTGAAACGTTTTTCGCAATATTGTCTAGAGATATGTTAAAATAATTATTGATGCAAACACAGAACAATAAATACAGTAGAATTACTTAGTGGGCGTGGACGTGTGCAAACAGTACGTCGAGTACCACATACTTGTGCTCCGTCCACCATTTCAATAATGAGAATAATTTATGACGTCGTCGAGACACACATGATGTTAAAACTAAAATACAACATAGTATATGAAACTATTTTTCCGGATTTAAATCGCGTATATTTGTTTTTTTCAAACAAGCCAACGTTTCGGGCCCCTTTACAGGTCCCATGGTCACGGTTGACTGAGGTGGTACAGTCATCAACCAGTTATGTCTAATATTAATGCAAACTACCCTATCTTTTCACTATAGATACAAAAGTTATTAATTAAATGCCTTATTTTTAATTTTACAAAGAACATTCCAATCCAGGCACGGCAATCCGGAAAAATAGTTTCATTTTCTATGTGTAACAATCGCGAAAACCTAAGAACTCGATAAAATACAATATCATGAATTAAAAACTAAAATACGGTACAATAAAAATGCACGAGCGAAACACATACTTTACTTTAAAAGATTAATAATAAATGCGTGTCGAGGAGCACGCAAACGGGTCTTAATCAGCTGGTTTTCAGCAAGCCCGATTCACGTGAAGCACGGACTCGAGCGCAAACAAAACAAATACCTAACGTGTGTGTGAAACTTGGTATGTACTAAAATATTTATACTAAATTATATAATATGAATAAATAAATCAGTATAAGTGTAAACTAAATAACATGTTATTATAATAGGTAAATATTGTGTGCACTTGAATAGTGTGTGAGAAATGAATAAACATTTCGACCTTCATGTTACTCGTAGACGTCTATCGTTCGTCGTCTATATTCGTCCGCTGTAGTCGTGTCATTCATCTCGCGCAAAACCTCGAAAATCGTGGAAAAGTGCCTTATTTTGCTACATGGAATGCAAAAATTATAATCGCACCTGTTATCCGTAGTGGTGTTCCATATCATCGTTAGTATTATTTTATTTAGTTTTAATAAATTTTCCATTTTCTGTGTAAACCTTATACCGCTACAATAAGATCGACTTTTTCCTGGAAAACGTTTATAGGCGTTAATCATTCGTATTAAAGCTATTGCCGTTACATGGCAGCACATTGAATGAAATTTCAATAATAAAATCTAAACGTCGTAACTTGCAATAATATCATTGACTTACAATTATATGGACGTCGGGTCTGCGCTAAAAAGTGTCCGAACTTATAGGGCGTTAAAATCGTATACAGAGCGTCATTCACGCTTTAGTCTTCGTTTGTTCGACTGACAGCGAAGCAAGCAAAATTAGACAGTACTGCGATGACATTACAATTTAAATTCAACGTTTTAGCTTTTTCATATTCCTTTACATGTCACTACGTTTAAATAGGTTGACTTGGGACATTTTTTTCGTGGTTTTTGTATTAGATCCGTCGTCCATTTATTTGTAAGTCAATGAATAATATGTATTGATTTTCTAACGATATGCCAACTGAGTAACGTTTAATAGTTATTTGTTTTGCAAGGCTGCAAAGTTGTTGTTTGACGCAAGTGCTTGTATTGAAACCTGAGCAAGCGAAGGACTAAGATTGATCGAGTGGTTCAAAAATAGATTCCTAAGCGTAGCGAAGGTTTCAAGCCACGAGACCCAAAACAACTTTGCTGCCGAGCGAAACACACAACTTGTCATCTCACTATAGCGAGGAAAATGGTAGATGAAAGCAAAACTGTTGAACTATAAAACATCAGTTTTTTTTTATTAAAGGAAAAAGTTTATCTTCGCATGCGTTCTAAATTTACACATTTTCAATTTTTATTCTTGCTTGTACTTTTATTCTGTGTGATTTGACAGGGCCTTTGAGTCGGAAATTATCTATCAATATCTGAAAAATTACAATTCCGCTGTAGACATTACATTTTGGTTTTTTTAATCAGTCTAAGGTTCGTATTAACCACATATCATTATAATTATTTAATCTTAAAAAAAAGAAAAATCAAGCCTTAACCTGTAATTACTGGTACTTAGATTTCATATTTTGTTTTGCGCCATCTCTGAATTACTTTGACTGATTTTAATGCGTTCGTTAACTATAATTAAATTAAGTCATTTTAAAATTTACGTTAAAAACAAAAGTTACTTACGTATTACGCGAGTGTGTCAACAGTTTTTTTAGGCAGGTGATATCAGGTGAAAATTAACAGTAATACTTTGTCGCAATAAACAAGTCGCTAAGGGTCTACCAAGGTAAATTTACCACGACCAAATGAATATGGCATTGCATACTTTCATGAACAAGCGGGGAAGATAATTTTATTATACCCAGTGACGGGACGAACAAGTCGTGCGCTTGGTGCTAAGCGACACGCCTATCCATAACAGTTGTAGTGTTACTCGGAGCTTGAAATCGTTAAGTTCTAAAGGGCACTGCCATGTAATTTCACCAGCACGCGTACACAGCAATGCTGACATTACTGGTTGGCGGCAGAAATATGTACGGTTCTTTTTTTGTATTATTATTTTATTTACAATCGGCCGCCAGGCCATAAGCGAATCTTTTGAACAAGAGCCGTTTTTGGTGGAGCGGCCAGTGCCGCACCTCCTAACTGTAGAACATGGCCTCGCTTAAGTCGTTTGACGATAGTTGATGGATCTAGAAGTTCCGCGATGAGTGGGTTCGGGTACAGGCACTATTTTGGCAGGCAGGATAGTCGTTCTTTGTGCTTAGTCTTATGTCGGTCGATCTCAGCAGCTACCGATATGACGTTTAGATGACCATGTATCTCTTTTGTTGCTATTTTATGTCTATTTATATGGGTGTGTGTAGTAAAAATTACTTATAATATGATGAAATCTTGCTAAATTCTTGTATATATGTATGTATATATGTCTTACAAATTTATACATTATCTTTTTTCCTATCAAATAGTTTTGTAAGCTAAGGACAATTATAATCTCTCCCGCTCGTTTTGGAATGCTCAGCTTTAAATTGCTGTTAAATGTATTAAAAACTAACTTAACTGTTCTTGTTACAATGCTAACGAAGGGAGTGGATGTTGGCTATCTCAAAAACCGTAAGTATTTATTTTACATTTACGTATCGATTAATCGAATTTGCTAACCAACTGCATTTTCAATTGTTATTTTGCAATCGCAATGCAGTTTGTCTAAGTACTGCCCCATTTCAATTTTATTAATACAACACCATTTTGTAAAATTTCGTGACCTTTGTTTAAAAAGGTTTCAACGGAGACAATTCTACGAATTAAATTAGTCGATAACTTTTTTATGCTTTAATAGGAGTGCTACAAAATTCCATATAAGCATCCATAATTTGTTTCATGTAAGTATCATTATTTTTAAGACTTTCATGTGATAAAAACCACTTTTGATCTATGACCACATGTGGTTTTAAACACGAAACACACAGAGAGCGGGAGCGGATCAGGCGCGAGACGGGTCGGGACGACAACACAACGAGCCCGGGTGCGTGCGCCAGTCGCGCGTGTTGTCGTCCATATAAATACACGGAATTAGACCCGTCCCGACCTGCAGATCGATTCAGAACCTTACGATAAATCTGTTGTCGATCGAATCGATTAGATATCGTACGATTTCTTTTCATTTTTATTCACAATAACCGAATCGAACGTCAAACTGTCGTATTCGAAACCGAACCGAAGTGACGTCACACCCGAATGATTACTCGTACTGACCCGCGCCCGATCCGCATCCGCTCTCTGTGTATTTCACGATTTGTACCAAAGGTATATTTTGCTGGTCATGATAAAACATAAAAAAACCGACCTCAAAAGTACGTGGAATTACGTCTGTTTGCTAAGTTTTATTGATATATCCCCTAGATAATATATAAATCGGTTCTCACTACTCAAAGTATATTGAGAGAAAAACGCCTTGAATTGGAGAAATAGTAAAATCAACCATTAAAATAATTGCTCCTAAATTAAAATTAGGCGCTATTTATAAAAATGAATCTTCATGCGTGAACATCCTTAGAGGTGGATGAATTTCTTCAAAATGAAATAGGACCACTATGGAAGTACCCCCTTTCCAACAAAAAAAAAATTATGAAAATCTGTTTACAAATACCGGAGTTATCGCGTAACATACATACAAAAAAAGAACATACAGTCGAATTGAGAACCTCCTCCTTTTTTCAAGTCGGTTAAAATAAGAATAATTTAAGTGACTTTTGTAAAATCCAAAAAAGAATCCTTTTCAATAAAACGTGTTTACATATTTTATTTATATCCACAGTTGCCGCCACCGCCCCATATCGAGCTGATGATGTCTATGCCATACATCCGAACTGCTTTCAAGAGGCCCACCGTGAGAGTACGACGTAAGTTTTCGTTCTTAATATTCCACATAAATTTACGAATCTTGCTGAAAATCAAAGCAATTAATGGACGAACCAATTGACTAAGTTTGCACAACAGCTGCTATAAGGCTTTTTAAATTTTAAAAGTTTTATAATAAAATTTAGGCAAGATTACCCTTTTAAACCGTTTATGATTTTTTTTTGTGCTTTTAAGCAAGAAAAATTACAATCTTTACTAGTGATTGTAATTCATTCCTTAAAAATCAGATTCATCAATCTTGTTTCACTCATCCTCTACGTGGCACTATACCTTCGTCTATGTCGCACTTATGTGGTCTGTGGTCGCACTGTACATCTATCCATCACAATCACTTCGTGGATATTTCTCAAAGCTCTCATTTCCACTACTTTAAGTAGCAGTAGAGATCCTGTAAAAAGAATTCGTCCAGGGAAGTACTGCCACCTTACCTATTTCTGCCGCCGAGCAGTAATGCTCACATTACTGCATTCCGGTTTGGGAGGGTAAGGATGCTGGGACTTGTCAACTTATGTCTCAGGATGACAGGCGCAGTGCCGATGCCTCTCAGATCTTTGTGATTTTGATATTTGCGATTTCAAGCTCTGAGTGGTACTGCAACTGTTATGGACAGGCGTGTCACTTACTACAAGGCCCACGACTTGTTCGTACCGTCACTTGGTATTATAAAGATCTCAGTACAGGGTGCTAAAAAAACCGACCTCCCCTAATATACCAACCACCCTCGGAGGTGTAATATTTTCTTCAAATTACCCAGAAATGAAATCTACCGAGGCACACTTTTTCCAACAAAAAAATAATTTCAAAATCGGTTCACAGACGTATGATGATGAATTATCACGTAACATACAAAAAAATACAGTTCAATTAAGAACCTACTCCTTTTTTTTGCAGATGGTTAAAAAGAAACATTCATACTTTCCATGTTCTGCGTTGTAACGTGAATTATTAATTTTCATCAAAACTGTAAGCTAGGCCAGTTAGTAATAAAATTATTGGTAATAATAATAAATAGCGAACAACACCCTGTATAGACGTATCTAACTATTACTAAATCTAAACCGTAAATACAAGTAAACGTAAATAAGTTATGCGGAAAACGAACGTAACCTGCAAGCTCAGTCGGAAGTTAATTGCCAGTGAAAAGGTTAATAAAGGATATTGAAGCGTGGGTTTTCGGGAAATAACTAACACATTGCTTGCGGTTCATTTGTAACCTTGTTCATATAGGGTGTAACAAAAATATAAGTCCATATTTCAGTTGCAAAAGAATCGAATATATATAGGGTTATGTAAAAAACTAACAACCTCGCAGAACTGTATTACTAACATCATAAACAACAACTATTGTTCCATGATTTTTTATTATTAATCAGATTTTTCGTGAAAAATTAAAATATTTCAATAGATCGCTCGCTCTAAGTTATAACTCTGTGCAGCAACAAAAGAAAGCGCTGTCGCTAGCGATAGCGTAAATATTGATGCAAAACGCACAGGAGCGGGGGTGGGGCACAGGAGCGGGGATGGGCATCGTCGAGGATGACCGAGAACGCTTGCACTTTGTACTTACATAACAACAAAATACAGATACAAAAAATGTTAGATGGTTCAACAAAAACTGAAACATTTATTTTTGATAAATTATTATATTTTGTAAGAAGTCATGAAACAAATTTCTTGTTTATGATGTCGGCAATATAGCCCAGAAAGGTTGTTAATACTTTACAAATTACTCTGTATAGCTTTCAATTTGAGTTTTCTATACAAATCGCGTTACGCAAATTCATTTTTCACAAATTGAATTTTCAAGTCGCGTTTAAAATTGAAATAAATAATGTGTAAGCTAAAAGGTTGTGGTGATCATTGTGGGCTCTGTACGGTGCTTATTCTTACACGGAATCGTCACCAGCAATTAACACTACGCTAAGGCCTGGCGCCAACTGACGGGGCGGAGCGGCAGGGGATCCTTCGGCACCCCTACATGCAAGCGCACACTGTGTGGGTATTAATTGCTGGTGTTGAAATGAAATATGACATAAATACACCAAAGGTGCATGTAGCCAAAAGCGACGACAACGTACCAACTTATACACGCGTATTTTTATTTCACCATGTACAGCATACAGTGTAATAAACAAACTTGACGGTACACGAAAATAGCCTCCTCGCACTACGTGCGTACGTATTTCTTTCCTATAGGTACTTCTGGGGCAACAATCGGTGAATACCTTACGCCGATTTGGCAAATTCTTTCACCACGATGGCAAATTTTATAATGTATGCCTCGGAACAGTAAATACGGTAGAAGTCATTGACTTACAATTATATGGACGTCGGGTCCGCGCTAAAAAGTGTCCGCACTTGTAAGGCGCTAAAATCGTGTACAGAGCGCGACACTCCGCTTTAGTCTTCATTTGTTCTACGGACAGCGCGATACTGCGATGACATTACAATTTAAATTTCGAATAGGTTGACTTGGGATATTTTTTTTCGTGGTTTTTGTATAAGACCCGTCGTCCATTTATTTGTAAGTCAATGGTAGAAGTGGTTAGTTGACATCCGACGCCGACGACAGACCTACTTGAGCTCTGTCCGCCATTTTCGCTTTGTACACAACCTTACCAAGGTTGTGTCATTCTTTCCCGCAAATTCTCTAAAATCGCAGAAAAATGCCATATTGTGCTGTTTTGAAGTGCAAAAATGATAGCCGTACATAAAACGTTACCCGTTGTAGTATTTCATGTCATCGGTAAGTCTTACTTTAATTAATTTTCAATTTTCTGATTATCGAGTTGATTCAGATGTTAATCGTTCGTCGTAGTCCAGCTACTGGCCGCAAGAAGGCAGCACGTGGAATAAATATCAATATAAAATCAAAACGTTGTAACTTGCAAAAGGCATTGAGATTTCAACGATATAGCGACTGGGTAAAGTTTAAATTATATTAACGATTCACAATTTATAATTATTAATACAAAGATCGAGCACTCAGAAAAACATCCTTCGATCCGACCGAATTCGAACCGACGCCTTCTAACATACCGTGCCAGACGCTACACCGGCTGATAACTGTAAAGGTATCCAACTGGATGACGAAATACTGTAGACTAGGCTGTACTCTTTGAGTAGAATTGCTGGCTGAACATAGGTAATGATTATAGTTTGTATTTGGAACGCTAAGAAAATAAGGGAGGATCTTGACATATCATATTAAGATCATTGTTTCGTAACCCTACGCCAAAATTATGTAAAAAAGTGAAATAAAGTATAAAATTGAAGATTATTACAGTTTGAGTTTATAGAAATGCCTCTCGCCACGTAATCTGAGCTACCCCCTATTTCAATACTGTCATTGATTTCTCATAGATGGCGCTACGGCTAAAAAGCCGTTAAAAACCAAGTACAAAGACAACGAGCACATAGAAAAATTCGTGAGGTCGTTTCGTGGCTTAGTTGGTATAGCTTCTGACACGGTATGCTAGAAGACGTCCGTTCGAATCCGACCTGATAAAAGGATTTTTTCTGGGTGCTCGATCTTTCTATTAATAATTATAAGAAAGTAGTAGAGTAATTTCACTTAAAAAAATATTGTATATCAATTCAATAAAATTGTTAATTCAGAATTTGTTATAGGTTTTTGAATTACGAACTATACACTCAACATAGTCCCGCACTAGGGAAACCCTGTGTCGCGGGTGCCATGGACACACATAGACAACCACAAATTACACCCAAGCTCACGAGATAAATAAATGTAGGCCATACAAATATTTTTCCCGGCCCGGGAATCAAACCTGGGATCTCTGGGTGGCAGTCGTAATGGTAACCGTTCGGCCACGGAGGTAGTAACTATGACCAATCATTATAAAGATTTCGTAGTGTTTATTATTTGTTTGAGTGAGTTAAAAAAGCATTTTCATTGTTTTTTTCCGTGGTATATGCGAACTATACGATAAGAAGAAGACGTTACAAACGAGGATATTTCTTTGATTTTTAATTATATGGCAATTTGGACTGAGTGATAGTCAGAAGTAGATAAGTTTCCCATATATATATCGACAGGATTACGAGTAATAAAGGTATTTACCAGAGAAATTCGCATGCTTACAAGTGAGATATTTCGACTATTTATAAAAAAAACTTGGTGGCAGATGTTGTAGAACCATGGCTTACAAAATTATATTGTTTGACTGTAACAAAGGGCAAAATTAGAGAAATAGATAGATATATATATATTTGTAAGCCATTTGTAAGCATACACGGTAAATACAGTTTATATATTTAAGATTACACTTATGGTTCAGCTTGTTGCGCCAATAACTGGCACGCAAATATTAATAGCAAATATTGTTCACATTTATTACATATAGTCATATTACTTATACAATATAGTCATTTGCCTATGCCACAATTTCGTAGACATAGACAGACGTTGAAATGCTTTTGACTCTAGAAATGTCTATTCACCATTGACTTACAAATAAATGGACGACGACGGGTCTAATACAAAAACCACGAAAAAAATGTCCCAAGTCAA